TCCCGGGTATTTTCAAAACCGCCCCCCCCCCCCCCCCCTCCCCTTATCCACTCAGTGTTGTTCCAAGTTGTGCTCTATTGTTTGTCTTGGCAGGCGGTGTCAGGGAGGGGCCCCACCGCTGCTGTTTGTGCAACCTGTTAGAGAACTTTCAGGGCCGTATCATCTCTCCTCTGCTCCTTGACTGGAGATCGTCTCACCTCTGAGTCCGGCTCATACTTCCATGAATGTCACATATAAGAAAGGATATTGTTCTTGTTCTTTTTTTTTTTTTTCAGGTCCATCAGATTTAACCTGGTGTCTGTTACCTGTGTTGTAGCAACAGTATGAAAAATGTAATATAAAACACTGTGGTTCATTATGTTTCAGCTGTAATACATCGGGGAGTCAGTGGGTGCGCTGTGTCAAACAGACACACTGTAAATCAGCCGTTAGTCATTAACGTTGAGTGACCGGTCGTCTAGAACGTTGTTTCCCAAAGACTGGGTCGCGACCCTCAGGTGGGTCGAAAGAGGGGTTTTTTTTGGGGTCGTCTCGCATCATGTTTCCCAGGAGTTTACGAATAATGTCTATTGAGTCGGGTCGCGAAGGTTTGTGACTTTTAAAATCCCTGGAAAGAATTTTGGGAAACACTGATCTAGAAACATTGACAGATTATCTTTGAATGAAAAAAGTAAAGGGATTTGACTGGACCTCTGGACCAGAGATAATGTTTTACCAAAGATCTAAAAGTGAGGAATTTTTTAAACAGCTGTTTTAATCACATCAATATTTTAAAGTACAAAATAAGACCAGAATTTAAATAGTGCAACATTTTTGGTTGAATTGAAACCTCCACTGGTTTGTGTTGGTTCAATTAACAAATCAACATAGAGTTTTTTAACGTGTTTTAACGTGTCCTTGACCGTTCATTTCAGTGTCCTCTGACGCAGAGCTTTTCTACGTGACTTAAATCTAGGTTTAGTGTCGAACAGTCAGTAACTGTCACCTGCCTCCAAGGGTAGTTCTGCTGAGTTTTTTTAAAAGTAAAATGAAAAATATTTTTATCACCGAATGATAAAGATCATTTAAATATATGTTTATCTATATTTCTTTTTTCTGCGTTGCTCCTTACATTCACTGCGTCCTCATTATGTCCCATCCCTGCACCTGTGTTTCACCTCTGTCCTGGTCCAATCATACGCCAGATTTCCCAGCCTTTTGCCCACATGACATACGTCCAGTTCATTTAATCTTTCACCAGGATGTTGTGTTTCAAAACCAAGTTTCATTTGTGCTTCAGTGAGTTTTTTTTTTTTTTTAACCGTCTTATTAGTTATTTCAAGGTCTGTAGCTCCGTCTCCTCCCAGTTTCCCTTGTGAAGTTTTTTTTTTTAAACCTTCAGTTTCTCGACACCTGCACCTGTTGTTCTGTTCAGTCTTGATCTTGTTGAACTTCTCAATCGTATTCTTCAATCCCAAACATTTTCTAACACAAAAGTCCATTCATTTTGTCACTGAAGCTGCAGCTGTGGTTTAGTTCTTGTAAAACATCAATCAAGTGGAGATCATTTCTAGGTCCATGCTGAAACCACTGGTTTATACTGGGTTTTTGACCTTGATTTTTTTATATAATTGTCCCTGTAAACATTGCTGAAGTGGTGATGGTCATATTGGTTATATATATATATATAATTTTTTTTGCATTGAAGCAATCACATTTCCTCCATAATAACTTTATCCTCCACTGTATACACCCAGCCTGTCTCTATAGACAGTTTAATTATGTCCACACTGTATCAATGGCATGAACATGGCAACAGTTCCCTAGCAACAAGATCGACAAGAATAAACTACATGTAAGGTTGCTTCCCAAGTTGTATGCCTGCAGGTGAACTAAGGAATTTTCTGAAAGATTTCTTGTTTTTTTTTTTTTTTTTTTTTTTTTTTCTCCTCTTCCTTCTCTGGTGTGATGTGCTGCAGTACAGGAAACACAAACGTGAGACGCTGGGTGTGTGTGTGTGTGTGTGTGTGAGGGGGTTGGAGGGAGAGTGTGAGTGAGAGAAAAGAGAGGGGGAGAGAGTTTATGTGGCTTCAGCCCTGGAACATTTAAAGGCAGTCAACAATGCAGCTGTGGTGAGTGGGGCCGCTTCAAAGTATTTATCTACACATGCCTCCAGTGACCGCCGAGTGTGGACGGCTAAGTTTAAGCTCTATTCATAGATGTGAATGAATGAGCGCCGTGCCAGAGGCACTTTTATCACCGTGACTGTAAACAACAGCAGAGTGAATCAACAGGTAGGAACTCTGGCAGCCGTGGGATGGAGATTTCCAAAGACAGAAGGAGAGCAGATTTGTTCGCACGTAGAGACGACATCTGCTGTCCCCGCGCTGCGAAGGGGAGCGGAGGCTGCAGACTAAGCACTTTGACAGGATACAGCACCTACAGCCTGACCTCTTTTGTTTGCCCTCACCACATCCCAATCACACTGTGAGAAAGCAGAGCTCGTGTCGGCCAGAGGCAGACAAAAGGGACGGACGGTAAACATCACAGCGTCATCAGCAAAACGTCGGTGCAGCAGCAGAACTCAGAGCTTTTTTTTGGTTTTTTTGTCGTTTTGTTTTTTGTAGATGTTGGGTTTCCCTGCTCCACGCAGTAGCGACACGTTCCTGTTAAAACACGTGTGAGATTAAATGTTACTCGGTGTAAGTTTGCAGAAAAATGAGACCCGCTGTAGTCAACACTCGGCTGCACAGATGGCTCACCAAGAAACACAGAAAGAGTGGGTTTCAATAAAGCAGCGCCGTCACTCAGTGCTAACAGTTTCAGCGTTCTCTCCTAAATATATTAACACCTTTGTCTGTCATTTACCATCATTAGCGTCACAGTGTTAATACTTTACCATAGCTCCACGTTTTTCGACGTACACCTGTGTGTTATCCAAGCAGTTTTTGTTTGTTTAATGGATTTTTTTTTTTTTCAACACAGTCTTTAATTTGCATTCAAGCATCTGTGTATAGCATCAGTTTTTATAACGGTTGTTTGTAAAATGAAAAACACTGGTTGTTTGGTTGTTTCAACGGTTGTTTGTAAAATGAAAAACACTTTCTTTTTTTTTACAGTTTTAAAGGGTGAAATTCTTCCTTCCATCTGGACAGACCTGCAGTCACTGGACCGTCGTCGTGTCCGGATGGAAGGAAGTGGTTCTTCCTCATAAAAATAAATAAAAAATATTTTTGCAGGTTTATGTTATTTTTATTACTATTATTATATTTTTTATATCATTTGTTCAGACACTATTGTAAACCCACAGAATTTTATTAAATCCTATTTTTAGAAAATATTAAATGACCTCACTCCGTCTGAAGGGTACCAGTGATTAACGACGGTCCGTGTGGAAATGTTTTTCAAAAGTTAGATTACAGTTGGTGAAAAATCATTATCATCATTATTTAGCTGATCGATGTCACCGTTGTTCTTTCAGATACAAGACACGAGGAGAGAGGAGGATGGTTCACCACAGAGAAGACGACCTGATCGGGATTCCCTTCCCCAATCACAGCAGCGACGTCCTGTGCAGCCTGAACGAGCAGCGGCGTGACGGCCTGCTCTGTGACGTGATCCTCATAGTCCGGGACCAGGAGTACCGTACCCACCGCTCTGTGCTGGCCGCCTGCAGCCAGTACTTCAAGAAGCTCTTCACAGTGGCCACCGGTGATGGAGATCACCACCAAACCGCCGCCATTTACGAGATTGACTTTGTGGCGCCCGAGTCTCTGACGGCCATTTTGGAGTTTGCCTACACGTCCACTCTGACCGTGACGGCGTCCAACGTCAAAGAGATCCTGAACGCCGCTCAGATGCTGGAGATCCCGTGCATCATCAACGTTTGCTTGGAGATCATGGACAGTGGCGGCGAAGGTGAAGGAGCAAGGAGGGGGGAGGAGGGGGAAGAGGACGAAGAGGAAGAAGAAGAGGACGCAGAGGAGGACGAGGAGGAGGAAGAAGAGGAAGAAGATGAGGAGGAGGAAGCCGGGTCGAGGAAAGACGAGCAGGAGGAGGAGGAGGACGACATCAGCGAGAGGTCACTGCAGTCGTCGGAGAGCAGGGGGGAGCGGACACCGTCAGGGACGGAGGACCTACATCCTCCCAGCACTTCTTCATACCAGCAGCAGTTCGACCTCCACAGAGGGTCGCCTCAGTCACAGTCTCACAACAACATGAGAGGAAAACAGGTGAGTCCCGTCACCTCACACTGGTACTGTTTGGTCAGGTTAAAATGTCTGCGAAGATTCTCATTCGTCCAGGTCGTATTATCTAAAGAGTTCAGTTGTGAGGAACTGGACTTCTTCTTCTTCGAGCTTGAAAGACGTTTCAGTTTCTCAACTGAGAAACTTCATCAACTGAAACTGATGACCCTCATCTGTCAGGTCTGTCTGTTTCCTGTTCCTGCTGTGTCTGCTCTGTCGGGTAATCTGTGTCATCACACTCACCTGAGTCTCCGTGATTAGTCTCACTGGTGTCACCTGTCGCCCTCACTCGATGGTCGATGGTGTATCTGCTCCTGGTCTTAGCTCTGCGTATGCTTTCGTCCTGGTCTTTGAAGTGAGTTTTTCCAGTTTCTGAAACTGATGAAGTTCCTCAGTTGAGGAACGAAACATCTTTCAAGCTCCAAGAAGAAGTCCAGTACTTTACAACTGAACTCTTTGGAGGTCCGGTTAAAACAAGCTTGATGTTTTTCAACAGTGTCCTCATCAGCTGTTTGGTCGCTGTCCTCTGACTGCGACAGGAGTTCTAAGTCAAAACACGTGAAAGTTAATCGTTATGAAGCACTTTTCAGTTGACCTGGACCCCACTGAGACCCTAGTGGTTGGTATCACACTGACCTGCTGCCGTTTCATTTCATGTTAATCTCAGTTTTAGAGTAACAGGTAAAATGAACCTTAGGATTATCCAGATAGAAACGCGTGGAAACCTTCACGTACTTGCAGGACCCCGTGTCACCTCCAGTCCTTCAACTCTTTGGTCTCAACATTATCATTATTGTCTTTGGCACGTTGAAACTGACATCTGTTTTTCCCCAAAACCTGCAAAACTCTTTTTGGACCTAAAACACGTTTTTATTGTTTTTTGGTCCATTTCTTATCTCACAGCTGGAGATAGCCGCTGGGATCGGCTCAGGAGAACTGGAGCCAATCCCAGGAGTCAGTTGACCAGTCAGTGGGTCAGAGATTGAGATAATCGACACTCACGCTCAAACAATAAACCTAAGAACTTTCAGTCTTTATATTTTTGACTATGGAGGGAAATCTGTGGCATCAGTTAGCACTGGGGGGTTAAACTTGTGATCTTTTTCTGTAAGGCAAGAGCACTAACCTCTTTCCACTGTGCAGCCCCAAATAATAATCCAAATAATTATTAATAATTATCATTTTAGGAAGTTTTCTGTGTCTGTATTTTTTCTCCTTTAATACAAACCATCAAGGAAAAGTCTGAACTCTGTGTCGAATACATTTATATTGGTGACTTTTTCTACTCCAGGAAAGCGCGGAGAGTCGAGCTCTGAAGGACTTCTCCATCGAGTCTCTGCTCCAGGAAGGCCTTTATCCCCGTACGTCACCGTTGGACCGACGGGCGAACTTCTCCTCTCTTCTCCCAGGATTCTACCCCTCCATGTGGGCCGCTGAGTTTCCTGCCTTTTCTCAGCAGCTTCTGGACCCTAACAACCATCAACATCCACATGGAGGCGCCGCGCTGCCAACGAGGCTGCCCCACGCCTTCTCCACCTCTGCACCGCTGGAATCCACCAGACCGCTCAACTTAGCTGTGAAGAGAGAGATCATAAAGGAGGAGATGAAAGAGGAAGTTCCGCCGAGTCTGCTCCACACCGACTTCCTGAAGGAGTTCGTCAGCGCGGGCCTCGGCGGCGCCGTGAACTCTGGCGCAATGCCGTTAGAGGGTCACACTCTGGGTCAGATTAAGGATGAGGCTGACTTCCGCTCGTACCTGAGCTTGCTGAGCTCTGCGTCACACCTGGGGGCGCTGTTTCCCCCCTGGCAGCTGGAGGAGGAGAGGAAGATGAAGCCTAAGGCGTCGCAGCAGTGTCCGATCTGCAACAAAGTCATTCAAGGAGCCGGGAAACTGCCCCGGCACATGAGGACCCACACCGGAGAGAAACCATACATGTGCACTATCTGTGAAGTACGATTTACCAGGTAGGTGAAACAGTGAATTACCACTTATTTAATTCAAGTCTTTCAGTTTTACAATCTGCCCCGGTGTTATGTAAGAAAGTGAAGTACCTACAGAAAGTACCTTCAGGTTTTTACAGTGAGGTCTTTATCGGAGCTGAATAATAAAAGGCTGACGGTGGAAACCCCCCCGACACAGCCTCTGAAATTTCTTAACTGCCTACTCTTTGTCTACTTTTGTTTCTTTATAAAGATTTTTAAAAAATCCCAGTTCAATGATGTGCTGATACAGAATGGACCAAAACTATAATTTAGTGGAATTAACTGGAATTATAAGTAGGTGTTCTTCTGTATCCAGGCTACTCAGTTTTGCACATATTTCTACCATTTAACATAAGCTAACCTTTTAGCATTTTTTCCAAGAGCCTTTAAGTCACATACAACCCAATGTTTACAAGACATAATGTTTTATTATAATGGAACATTATGGTTTCTAAAAAAAAATTAAAAAGTTACCAGAAAAAGGTGTAATTAATTGTAGAATTAAAAGTTAAAAAGGATAGTAGCTAGCATATTAGCATAATAAGTTATTCTAATAGCAAGGAAGTTACCATGATAAGCTAATGATAAGCTAGCATTATAACAAATGGGAAGGTAGCATTATCATTTAAATCTGAAAATAAACAAAAAAATGTTATAAACTCAAAAGCAAAAGTTTATTAAAATCAAACAAAACATTAGCTAGCATTATAACAAATAGGAAGGTAGCATTATCATTTAAATCTGAAAATAAACAAAAAAATGGTATAAACTCAAAAGCAAAAGTTTATTAAAATCAAACAAAACATATGCGTTTAAAAAAAAAACCATATATCCTCCACGATAGATAAATATGAGCCAAAGCTAAATAAAATAAGGCTAAAATGTAAATAAAAACGTTTGCCAAAAACTAGTCAACTTTTTTCACTCCATTATATGTGAGTTATTGTGTGTACTGTGTGTGTTTCCCAGACAAGACAAACTGAAAATCCACATGAGGAAACACACAGGGGAGCGTCCCTACATCTGCCTCCACTGCAATTCCAAGTTTGTCCACAACTACGACCTGAAGAACCACTTGCGGATTCACACGGGCGTGCGTCCGTACCAGTGCGAGCACTGCTACAAGAGCTTCACGCGCTCCGACCACCTGCATCGACACATCAAGAGGCAGAGCTGCAGAATCTCACGTCCCCGCCGAGGACGGAAGCCGGCGGCCTGGAGATCCACGCCCAACAGCAACTTCCTGTGTCCTCCGACCGCAGCCGCCAACAGGTTTGAGGAGAACGGGCTCAGCCCTGCATACCAGGGAGTCAAGAACCATGGACTAGGGGAGATGCTGGGCCTAGGCGTCAGGGGTTTGGGGTTCAAGAGCGTGGATGGAGTGAGCAGGGAAGAAAGGCGAACAGAGGGGAAGGAAGAGGAGCAAGCAGGAGAAGGGAGGCAGAGGGGAGTGTTTGCCTTCGCTCTGGCAGGAGATGAAGTTCTTACCCGCTCTCCATTTTACGCTGCCACCTCTGAGCCCTGGACCATGAGACTGGAGCGAGCTCCTCCCATCTCTGAGCCGGCCAAATGAACACTGAAGGGAGCAGGGGAGAGGAGGAAGAAAAGGTCTCTGATCTCTGTGTCTGCTCTGCTCCGTGAAGCTAAACGCACCTTTTTTGGGGGGAAAAGTGAACGAGTGAGAACCTTTTTTTTTTCTTTTTTTTTTTTTTGCAGCCTGCTGATGTGGCGGTGGTTACATACACACACAAAAACATAATTTCACAGATGTCAGGCTAACTAATGGTTTCAGCACCGTGATGTTTCCAGTGACTTTAGCAGCATTTACCAAGAGGCTGACGGTCTGACACTGCCAGTGTGGGAGACATATCAGGAGCAGTCACCGAGAGGTCACTGAGATTTTTTTTTTTTTTGACCTACAAACTACATTCTCTACACACTCTCTGAAGGCAACAAGAAGTGAGACTGTTATTTTGACAAACAATAAATGCAAAAAAATAAATTTAGAGCCATGGGATTGTCAGAATTGAAGAGATGCAAGTCAGCATTCTCAAGTGAAAGTCAGATTTTTTTTTTTCTGTTTTGTCACAGAATTGATGATCATTGGACAGAAAAGACCATTTTCTAATTTTTTTGTCAAAGTATTATTCCTTTTTTTCTTTTTACCGATTTGAGTTTAAAGTCATAATTCAGACGTTTCCCAACATTTTAAATGAGAATGTCTCAGTTATGACTGTTATGAGTCCAAATTTGTTTTTCTGTTAACACAGCTTTAATCTGATTTCTCAGAAACCTAAGGCAACTGTGAGACTCTGAGTCTAATCTCAATTTTTATTTTTTTTATAAATTTCTCAAATCCCACAATTAAAATTTTTCTTTTTCATAAGTCCTTGATTTAACCACCAGGGGTTTTGATTTTTGGAAGAAATATGATAATTTTTCAGGATTTTTTATCTCAGAAAAAGGTCCGAGCTATGATTTACTTAAAAAAAAAAATCTGTTTTTTGGGAATACTGACTTCACTCTCAAAATTCCCACTTTTCTTACGACTCTGAAGTGAAAGCAGAAATTCTGATTTCTGCTTCTGAATTTGATGATTGAATTAGAACAGAAAATAGAGATTACAAAGAGGAAAAAACAACATGCAACAGAAAGATATATTTCACATGGCATTAAATCTCTTCTGTACATTTTTACATGATAATGACGATCATCCTTTTTTTTTTTTTTTTTGGTTAATTTGTAGAAGAAACTGTTGAAACGGCTGTTGCCTCCCGTCCTGCATGTTTGATTCAAACTGGGTTGTGAGATCATTTTCTCAAACATCTTTTCAAACTGATAATCTTGGACTTTTGATTGTGTATCTCTCTCCGCACACTGCCTTTGTTCCAATTTAAGCTCTTTGTCTGCACTATTGTACATACAGGCAAACTTTTGGCCATTGTGGTGTTAATTATGGTTGCATTGCTGATGATGTCAGAAAAAATAGTCTCTGATTCCATCCAAAGATGTGTACTTTGATATTTGATAGACTTGAATTCAACTTTGTTTCAATGTTTTATTGTATATTTCTGATTAATCAAAACTGCGGCTTTAGCTTTACAGTATGCTTGTGGGTTGTTTTTTTGTTTTTGTTTTTGTTTTGTTTTGTCTGCAACAATTCAGGAAGGTGTCAGGTCCCTTTTTCATATAATGTTCATCCCTGATCTGTGTATAAAGACGTTCCCAAAAATTATTTGAATTGAAAAAAAAAGTATTTTCTTGCTATTTATGCATATTTAAATGAATGAGCCTTGGCTATATTTTGCAAAATCGTTTTATAAAGACACTAAATGTTGAAGTTTGTTCTTGTCTGGCTAAATTATTGCTACTGTGGCTGTGTGACATAAACAAGGGCTTTAAAATTGTCAAGTTTTTTCGCGGCAACTTAAATCCAAGTTAAATATCCAACAGTAATCTGGTAAGTTAACCTAAAAGTAACTGAAAATGTTATTTTTAAGAAAATATCGACTATAGTACAACATATAAATATAGACATCAGCTAAAACTGATAAATGATCCAAGTTCAAACTAGAAGTTCATAACTGAACTAGCCAAACCTTGTTAGTTTGGCTAATTTAGCCATTTTGGCTAACTCAGTAGCCTTAGCTAATGTCTTAGTATTGTTGATATTTTTATGTTACTTTTGAATTTTTAAATGTACTTCTTGTTACTTGTAGCTTCAGACAGATACAATTAGGTGACTTACAGACTGTAAAACTCAAATGTAACATTAAAATATCAACAATACCAAGACGTTAGCTAAGGCTACTGAGTTAGCCAAAGGAATACTGAAAGGCTGTTGGGAAAGAGCTAAGAGTTTACCAAAATATTCATCAAATAGCATCAATAATCCTTAACGATTAGGGATACCAAAAACAACAAAATGAGCAAAAAACATAGTCGTTTAACTAAGCAGAATAAAAGGTTGGTGTTAAAATACACGTGTATAAAAACAGCGGGGAGGGGGCGTTTAATTGACTGTGGACAGCTGTTTCTCTCTGGACAGAATTAAGAGACAATCACTGTTTTACATAGTTTTCTCAAATTATAAAAGTTTAAAATGATTTCAAAATAATGCAATAATAAAAGCCAGGTTTATTACAATTAAAAAAGGAAATAAGCAGAGGACAATTAAACGTTATTATAATATATATAAACTACACTGCGTTACTCACACAGTGATGCGCCTGTTTTCCAACCCTGACCCCTAGTGGACTAAATTAAGTACAACATCACAACTACCGCTAACGCACAAGTACGTTTTACATTTTTCATTAGATTTTTTTTTACTTAGACTAAGAAGATATTAAAAGTGTTTTGTTTTTTTTTGTTTTTGTTTTTTAAGTACTTTTAGGATTGTACGGGTTTTTTTTTCCCTTTTATTCATATTAATTCGGCTAAAGTACACGTACAGCAAATTTTATTTCATAGACACGAACATATTCTCACAATATACTCACAATATGTCTGAGGCCGTCTTATAAAACTGTTATATGACACGGTCTCAGATACTAAATGAATGAATTAGGCATTAAAAACACCATACAGATTATTTAGCGTATCTCCTCTGGAGGGCGCTAAAGGTTCAGCTTTGACCGGAGCAGGTTCGTGGTAAAATATACAGAGATTTTTTTTTTTACCGCACTAACGTTTTGTCAGTGTCTTTAAAGATGCAAATGTAAAATAAAAGCAGTGATGGTTGTCTCAAAATGTAATTATTGTTATCTTGTAGAATTTTGGAGTACTTTGTATCTGTTTGTTTTGTTTCTTTGTTTGTTTTTTCACAGAAATACACCCACATTATATATATGTCAAAAGGTTTTTTTGTTTGTTTTTTTTTTGCTTCTTCCAAAATTTAATTAACATTAAAAAGGGAACTGGAATTTGATGGGGCACCTGCCGTTAAAGGAATTCTTTGATAGAAACACCGTCTTGAGACATTCAAATGGTGGATATGCAGAGAAAGGGTTTTACTTTTCTTATTAAACAAAAATATCTCTCACACTGCTGTCATTGAAACTGACGACAGGTCAATTTATCTTTGTCTGTCTTGGCTGTTCACTTCTACGCTTCTCACTGAAACAACTGTTGAGAAAAAAAAAAAACAAAATAAACAAAAATCTTTATTTTCACTGCCAGACTTCTCTGATGTAAATCATATTGACCAGATAGTCTTTTCATTTTCAGCTTTCTTTTACGAACTAAACTGACCAGCAATGAAAAAAACATCTGACTTCTTTTTATAGCAGTTCTCCTTCTTTGCCTGCTGTGGTCTGTGGCCTGTGTTCACATTTGGTCACATCGAAGTTTTCCCACCAGCAGCAGATGCAGCTGGTTCTATCTGCTGACATGAACCCACCTGCCCAGCACCATAACACACACACACACACACACACACACGTGCAGAGTGTAGCAATTAGTGGCAGAGAAGCCAGATCATGTTCATGGTTTGTTTTTTCAAGTTTTGGAGAGGACTGCGTTGTAATTAAGAATGAAGTGTAAATAGATATTACAGAGCAAGTCTGAAACGTCTGCTTTATGTTCAACAGGATGACGGGAGATAAATTACCTCCACGACCTCCATGGTAAAGAATAAGGGTGGCTCTGTCACAGTTTGGGACTGAATTCCAGTTGATGGTGTCAAGGTAGTGAGAAGTGGAGACGGTTGAGCAGTGATGGAACCCTAACCCTAATGTAAGCAATCAGGGCATAAGACAAAATTATTTTTTGGTGGTTGGTGTTTCAGAACAACCGCGGTTAAAAAAAAAACACAACAAAGGTCGTAAGGTCGGTGGGAGAGCAAGAAGAAACGTGTTCTTTCAAAAAGACCAATAATGAAACCAGTGACCTTTGAGTTTTAAGACGAGACCACAGTCTGACTGACTCTTTCATCACGAAGCTAACGCTAAAAGCACGTTCATGATGTCTCCTAAAATGTCATTATATAAAGGCTGTCTGTTTCCATCTTAGAGAGATTGTCAGTACAGTGGAACCTCGAGATACGAGCATAATCCATATCTCGTATCTTATCTCGAATCATTTTTTCCCATAGGAAATAACAGAAGAAAAAAAAGAATCAATTCCGGCTGCTTAGTTGTGCTAATAACAATGGAGAAAACGTGTTTTAATTGCTATACAGACACACACACACAAAATAATTATAGTATTTAAGGATATAAAATAAAAGACAGACGGTATAGTAGCGGCTAATGGCGACATGTACGAGGAAGAGGGAGGGAACAGAGTTGGCCTACCTTACACCTACACTACGTAACTTACATAAACTTAGAATTAACTTACTTTTTTTTTTTACTTTTTTTACCACTCACTCTCTTAGGACTCATCATTATTATGAAGAATAAGGCACAAAATAGAGAGAAAATCACGTAGATAAGACCACTGCTACTTATTTGTCGAGACGCTCGTATCTCAAGGTTTCACGTTATACTGCAGGACAATTCACCTCAAGACACATTTCCTCTAAAAAAAAAAAAGACAATGAAAAGAGTTTTTGTTCCCTCCAGTCCATGTTTAAAAATATTCCACCGTTTTAGTCAAAAGAATAAATGACACGTTTCATTTACAGTAACAGAGTTTAACGCCAATTTGGCAACTGATTTGTCTATTCCACAGAGCAACATCCTACTGGACCACACACTGTCCGTCTCCAGGTCTGCTGGTCTGTCTCAGTGTTTGAGAGGTGTAGTGGAGTGTGAGAGAACGACAGTGGAAAGTTTACACCCACTGGAGAGAGTGTAAAAAGTGTGTGTGTTCACACCACCTTCAACCTCAACCCTTCTGAGGTTCAACTTCCTGACCTGTTAAACTGCAGTCGCAGCCGTGTCTGCACTCCTCTCTCTAAACATCATCCAAAACATCTCAGATAGACACAGTGTGTTGGTGTGTGGGTGTGTGGGTGTGGGTGGGGGGAGATGAGGTGGGGGCATCCTCTGAGGAAGCTGTCTGACAATGCAGCTACACAAAAGAAGTGCGAGTCGGACCACGGGGACTGTCAGAGTGAATGCACTCTTCTGGTCTCCGTGGGGTTTCTGGAGGCCCCCATCGAGGAAACTCCTTCAAAACAAAGGATTAAAAAAAGAAAAAAAAAAACACACTTCTGCCGTCACAAGTTGTCAAACGCAGGAACAATATGTCTGGCGAAAAAAGAGGAACCAACTGGCATTCCAGTCAACGGTGTCACATTTTTCTGCAACTGTTATCTGATGGAACCTAAAGCTCTGCAGCAGAACATTGTTCTGAGTCATGTGGATGTAATGCTACTTTATCATGATACTGTACAACACACACTCAGCTCACATCTCAACCTACAGGCAAAATCTCCTAGGAATAACGCTAGATTTGGCCCGCGGACCTTGAGTTTGACACCGGTGCCGTAGATAATCAACTATCCTAATCCGCAGTATTTTATAAAAAATAAACCCGTACAGAAAAATCGTCTGTGGTCAGTAAATGTTACCAATCAAACCATGTCCCTCCTAAACACATTACAAGCATCTCTTCCAGTTTTGACTCTCCTTCAGACTTTGACTCAGTGGCACCAGACAGGCAGCACTTCTTCATGGCAGACTGAACTTAAGTGTGGAGGGGGCTGGGGATGAGGTCCAGGAAGGCACCAGTCATACAGCTTCTAATGAAATATGTATACAGGAATGGGCCACTGTGGTGGGAGGGTTTATGACCATCAGATTATTGAGATTAGGTTTGTGTTCAACTCGACAAATGTCACAACAGATAAATGTTGTGTAAATACGTTTGTCATGTAGAAACCATTGCACAACTATGACCTAAAATATCCATGGCCTTAAAATGTCCACACATGGAGCTTTTAATTCACTTAAACACCGGAATGAATGTTTGAAATTTTTAACAGACCTTAAAGATAAATTTGTCGTATTATTACAGAAAAGTAAAAGCTTTAAGATTCACTTAGAAAAATGCAAACTGGATAGAAGTAATAATAATAAAAAAGTAAATAAAAGTTAGCTAAGAGGCTATTGGCTACTATAAAATTGGTTAAAATGTAGCTCTTTGGATTTAATTTAATTTTCATAAATGTCCAAGACACATGTCTGCCTCACGCGCGCGCGCGCGCACACACACACACTAATCCAAACCATAATGATTAATAAAAATGTCGTGGCGGGACACACACACACACACTAATCCAAACCATAATGATTAATAAAATTGTCCTGGAGGAGCACACACACACACACTAATCCAAACCATAATGATTAATAAAAATGTCGTGGCGGGACACACACACACACCCAGTGACAGCCGCCACACGACAGTACTGTATATATATATATATTACGTCATCATTTATAACATTTATTGTTTTCTGTTTGACATGCTAACATTTCGGCTATAAAAATGTTTCTAACGTCACAAAGATGCGCCAGAACAGGCCAATGAAAAAAAGTGAAAACGGTCGCGGCGTGCGACGTCACACGCTAAAAACGTTCCCCGCATGCTTTAAAAGACAACAGTTGGACGACGATATTTTTCTAATGGCGGCTCGACCTGGTCCGAATGGTCGACTCAGACAGAGGTATGTGACTTTTGTACTTTTATTCACTACTGTTGGCGTTTTGAGTCAGTGTAATACATTTAGCTTACTAGCATAGACTTAACCTGAAGTGGAAGAAAACGGGTTTTTATTTATTTATTTTTCTGCTTTGCTGAAACTAATTTGAAAAACGGCTGATCCACATTAGAATGTGTTTGGAGAGTGTGTTTACTCATTGAATCAAATTTTACTATTTTAGTTTTTATAAGTTGTAAAAAAAAAAGCACAGCTTTATTTTCTTCTACAGTAATGTTTTTGAAAGAAACCCTTTACGTTGTATTAAACTTGGACTCAACAATGTTTGAAATGAACAGATACGTCGGGATTTCTGCGCTCAGAGACCAGGTTGAAGTTGGCCAGTGTCAAAGTCTACTCCTGAAACTGAAAGACAAGGTTAGTGATCTGTGGAGTCGAACACAGGTTTTCTATTTAATAAGAAAGTAATTAGTTGACAAATGTGCTGACACAAGAATGTTACTTTTTCAGATTGATCATCCTGAAGATCTTCAAAACAGTAAGGAACATTATTTATTTATTTATATATATATATATGTATGTGTATGTATATGTGTGTATGTATGTATATATATGTATATATATGTGTGTATATATGTGTGTGTGTGTATATATATATATGTATGTATATATATATATATGTATATGTATGTGTATATGTATGTATATATATATATATGTATATGTATGTATATATATATATATATTGTGTGGCTTCTGTGCCTCGCTAGGCTGCTGTGCCTCGCTGTAAGTCTTTGTTTGAGTTTGTCAAACATAGCAGTACAAACAGTAAATGGGCGCCTGTCTTTTGTCTTGTTTGTTTCCTTTCTGTTTTTTTCCTGTCTTCAGTTGATAAGTTGTTGAATCTGGGTTTTGGAGCAAGAGCCATCGATGACAGGTTGCTAGTTAGCCAGACAGTGAAGTCTTACAGGTGTTTGGTTCTCTGCTCAAGTGGTGATGAGCAGGTTGTTGTGACTCTGGTCCCTTTTTAATGGTGTGGATGTGGATCTGCTGAGCTAGGAGGGTAAATGTTGGCTCAGGGTCTGATTTCTGACCGTGGTGGTTCAGTATTTGTAGTTGATGGAATGTCTGCAAGAGTGTGTTATGGGGTGTGTGTGTGTGAGTGACTGGAGGTGTTTTCAGCTCAGCAGTTTGTGATCATTGCGTGTGAAGCTGTTGTCTTAATGTGTGGAGTAACAAGTATTACTTTTTAGGTGCTGTCAACAAAGGGTGAGTCCAAAACTTTTTTTTGTCTTCCTCTCTGGGTGGCTATCCTTTCAGCCTCCTAAATTTTTAGAGTCATAGTAAAGAAATCTTATTATTAATAATTACAAATGAACATTGTACCTTGATCTAATTTAATCATTCAGATATGGCTGAACACGTGGCATATAATCGTACAACAGATTTACAGGCCTAGTGATGTTGGTCTTCAAACCAGTGTGTTCCTGAATGTCTTCCACAGCTGCAGATGAAGATTCAGACAGTTATGTGCCTGTTTACTTGGAGTAGGTTTATATGTAGATAAATATCTCTCTTTTTTTTACAGCTTTTCCTGGAAGGAGACAAGCGCTCTAGGAAAATAATAAATTGCGATTAGTTGCGCGATTAAAATGTAACACAAGGTAAGTGACTATTCTCGGTCTATTCTTTCCCAGCTGCCGTGCTGATCTTGAGTTCTATCCTGTCTGTTTTGCCTTGTCATAAATGTTGCGTGTAAAAATGGCTAGTTGTCGGGCCACATTAAGTAGACACTAAGACCACTGTTCAGTCTAAAATGTGTAAAACTGTTAAATGTTATACACCACCATGAAGCAGCAAAATTTCTTCAGTGTATAATTTCAGGTTTTTCCAATTCTGGAGATGTGTGAGTGTTTGTGTTTGTGGGACCAGATGTTTAGGTTGTTTCTCACCTCTGAAGACAAAGTTAGCTTGGCTAAACTGTGAGGATGCCTTGTTTTGGCCGCTGGCTAACGTCCAGTAATGGGTACAGAGCCATTGTGGTGCTTTCTCTTGGCTGCCATGCCACCTCTCTCCTGTCCTGTATTTCCCAGTGTGGCCATTAAGTAGTCTCTAAAGTATAGCTTAACCTTAATTTAGACTTCACTGGCAGTTTATGTAACTGAAACTTCCTCAATTTTGATGTCCCGTTTAGCTTGGTTTGACTAATTGCTTTCTTGATCACACCTTTACTAATCCTCAATTTAGATGTCCCGTTTAGCTTAGTTTGACTCATTGCTTTCTTGATCACACCTTTACTAAAAACACCGGTGGAAACTAGCACTACTGTGGGTGCCCCACCCCACAGGAGTGTGTATTACGGCCTTCGAGCAGTAAATGAGCCTGTTCTGTACTGCATGTACTGTATGTGAGGCTCACATACTGGCATGAACATAGCACTTTGTGTATGTGATGTATACCAACATTTAATCAAAGAAGATGATGGCTTCCTGTACACTTATAATGCATCTTGGTGAGTCCATACCTTTACGTAAGAGCGTCTTATTGATCCATCAACAGGAAGCAGAGTCAACCAAAGATACACTCTAGAGGAACATGTTACCAGGTTGGAAAGTGTCGGTGTAGGAGGGCCTGGGAGGGTGGGGGTCACACACTGGGACAGTGTTGCCTTAATGGTGCTACAACAGCTTACAGGCAGCAACAACAACTTGATGTAGACATAAAAGGAAATACAACAACAACACATTGATCGCAGTAAGCATCTTCAGATAATCTGATTAGGCTGCAGGTATGGATTATTATATGAAACTAATGTTGTCTCACTTGCAAATATGAACAGTCGGACTGATGCTCTCGCTGGTTTCCTGACATCATAACTGGTTTTAAATGCATTTTCCAGGTGTTAGCACTTGGTGAGGAAAGGAGAAAAGAATGCGTAGAAGACAGACCCATTGATTTCAGCTGTAATTACAGTGTGTTGAGTGAGTTCCCAAGGTTTTTTCCTACATTTCTTTCACACGCAAGATCAATTTCAGTTGAATTATTTGTTCATTTGTTTAAATAGATAAATTGTCTAATGGTAAATTGTCCTTTCTTTGCATACGTATTCCCGCATGAACCTTTTTTTCCATTTAACATTGACTGTGTCAGATATTGTTTTTCAAACGCTGAGATTAAATGGAAGCGCTATCAAAGCAAGATAAAGTTTTCGGTGAACTTTGCCCCGTTCTCCACAGACTCTCGACTCCTCTGGTTAACAACACTGTACTGTAATTGCCATCTGTTCAGCAGTAAGGCAGACAGTCACCAGTTACTGCTGCATGGACATCAATACTATACGAGCATTGAGTGCTGTAGTGCTAATGGGCCTGAGAGGGTAAGGCAGTCCCTCTGCCTTGTGTGATGCTGTAAATGGACTGGTGCGGCACACGTTAACTGTGTCCGAGGGCCCAAAACTCCTGCACTCAACAAAAACAGTAGGAAGTGGCTTCGCTCTGCCACCTAATGCAGGGAATGTAATGCAGTTGCACTGACGGCATTTAACGGTCGAAGTATATTTTCAGTGTTAGAGGTCAAGATGGAGAATAATAGATGTCGATGAAATAAAACCACGAGGGGCAAAAGGAGAACCCAAACTATAAATCCATGTTTTTTAAGTTCAGTATTCACCAAGAACTTTCCTTAATTTCCTCTTTTTTTTTTTTTACTTTACCACCAGGAAGACTTGGTTGATGATCTTTTTCTGAGTTTTAAAAACTAAAAAAATGATTTATTGGGTAAATATAAATGTTTTTATATATAAAGGGCTCTATTAGGTGAGGAAAAACCATCACCTAAATAACATTGATTTAAAAAAACAAAAAACATATCCAGTGCTGAAGAAGAGGAAGCATAAACGTTTAATTTCTTAGGTTAAGAAACTCTGCTGCATGGACTTCACTAAGATCCAGTGGGCCACACAAAACATCTTGGTGGGCTGCACTTGGCCCCCAGGCCTTGAGTTTGACACATATGCTCTTCACATACTCAGTTTAAGTCTAAACACTTGGATGGAGTATATGTAGACCACACAAGTCATGTTTCCATTAGAGAATACCTTGGATTTGTCCTTTACATCAGGTCACAATCTTCTCTTGTCCTGTGAAAATGAAATCATCAGATGGAGTTATATAATAGTTTGAACAAGTTTACTTTTACGTTTAATTTTTAAAATTATTTATTTTTGAGGGTGTGTAGATAAAAGAGAACACTTACAGTAGTCCCACTGCCTTGAAGGAGGTGCTTGGATCCTTTCACTTCTGTTTTATTTTTCGGCGTTTAATTAATGATTTGTTTGCCTTCGTACCAATTCCAAAAAAGCTGTTGTCCTGGCCTGACTCTAACACAAAGGCCATTA